TTTAAGCCTTACGAACCTTATCTAGAAAAGGTAAATCTAATTTCGCACCTTATGGAAACTAAACATTAAAGAAAGTAACTACCAACAACATGAAATCCTTATTCATAGAGTTCTTTACCTCTATCTCATAGTGACTGATATTTTGTGATAATCACTAAAGACTCTAAGCCGTCAAGATTAACAAAGAATAGAAAAATACAGAAAAGGTTTCCAAATTATTCAATCAATACAACATAATCTAAATGAATATGATAGAATATCCATGCATATTCTGCATACCTTACTTAATTTTTAAGAGAAAAAAGTCCTCTAGAAATCCCAAGGAAAGACTTATAATTTATAAACTTTCTTAAATAAATTTGGCTAAAAAAAACGAACCAATTAATTTTCAAAATAAATAAGCAAATTTATGCACTAAAGTTTTTAATATATGACTTAAGTAAAAATAACAAATCTAAATAGAGAGCTTAGACATATTATATAAAGACACCAAATTAAAGTTACTTAATAACTTTTCATAACTTTATTATAACCATAAACATCAACTTATTATTGGAAGATTACCACTTTGATGTTCAACATACTTATTGCTTATATATGATGGTTTTCAACAGCCAATGCACACACTCCTCCAGCCAAAGCCTCGACAATCTTTAGTGTACTTGGAAATGGTTGTCACAGGTGAGCCCTGGCAATTGATAGTATTGTAGAAACAAACAACCTCATTACTGTTGTAGAAGAGCTCATACCCACTTCGGTAATTCACATCTAGGTTATTGCAACCACGATTGACATAGAACTTTCTATCCGAAGATGAATTTAAACAATCAGAATTAGATTTCCATGCAAAAACATAGCTTGCATCTACTTTGTAGAGTGATGAAAAAAACAAAATGCAACAAACAAACACAGTGAAAGCCCAGTTGCCCATCTTGAGAACACAATTAATATTGTAACACACACGAGTATATATGAAATATTAGATTAAGAATAATGGAATCCTTTTATATATGGTGATTTAGAGTTTCATATTAACACAACACTACATCTAATTTCTTACATGTAGGAACTATAGATCAAATTGGAAACTATCTCTTTAAAAGTTTAATTGAAAAAATTACAAATCAAGATGAAGACTATCTTGTTCTTGGAAGGTCACCTAGATGCATCCTCTTCACCTATATTTGTATGAAACATTGAGTGATAAATCTATATTAACTTAAAAATTAATTATATGCTTAACCTCTCTAACTGTTAAATTTGGGACTATATTCACTCTTAAGAATAATTGCTAAAAAAATAAAAAATTATAAACTTTTAAAGAAAAATAAGTGAAATATATTAAGTAAATAAAATTTTAATTATGATAAGGTAATTTCAGTCTATTTTTCTGAAAGACTTTCCTTTTAAGTATTAGTATTCTTGAAGTAGCA